CCGCGTACGACTTACGTGACAGCTTGAACCCTTGTACGGAGGTCCGGCAAATTAAACTTTCTTGCTTAGAAAGACCGGCACCTACGCCCTCTGTTAAGCCATGTTTGGGTACGCAGCTGAGATATTCAAGGTCATAACCCTGAATGATGACAAATAGTTAAACAGCAGTGTAAAAAATGCACAGTAAGCTCTATAGACTTGTTTAACCAAAATAAATGCAAAAGCGCCTTACCATGCTCTGAGACTATTGGTTAGAAAACGCAATTTGTCTAAAGTGACAAGGTCGCAAAAAGCATCCAGTTGAGTAGCTAATCAAGTACATGTCCGAATTCCCGTAGGGAAATTCACCAGGGTGAATTTCAAGTGAATTCTTTTATAGGTACCTTACCAAGATCCTCGTCCCAGCTTACCCAACGGCCGTCTCAAATACAGACTCGATCGGATAATCAAATAAGGGAAAAATCCGGTACGTAAAACGGCTAAAAACACTAACGACTCTGGATTCGAAATAGCGTCTGCCACAAGTCTGTCCCATAGGTAGCCACAGGATGATAGATGCTTATGTATAAATCACTTATGTTTTCCCCTTAATGAAGTATACATCATCTCCATGTCAAACGGAGCACAAACTCTGCAGACCTACAGTTTGGTGTACATTTTGATGGCAAACAGAAAACGCGTTGGCGTCGCAGTTAGTTTGACTGTTGTTTAGCTTTCTCATATGTTTAGGCTACCGTATTCCACTGGAGGTGCTATTTTGTGGTTCAGTGAGTAAAGGACAGCAATTCAATGCCATATCTTGGCATGTCTCCCCGGCATTTCTGTGCTGATTGTCCTCTCCCATCTTCAATGGTTTCGCCTCCTAAGGGGCAGCAATTTCCATCCCCATATGGATTAGTATGCCTATCCTTGTGAATCAGGCTTCTGCAAATAGTTTATAAGTTATATCTGGTTGTGGGCTGAGCCGCCTATGGTACCAAATTCGAATTTTTGATGCCCATTCGGACGCCAGGGGATCATACTGGTAAGCGCACAGCAAGCTAGCAGTCAGTCTGCTCAAACATTGAGGGTGTTGCAATCAAAGCCGAAACCAAACGCCAATTTCGGTTTCGGAACATCCGCGTGATTTGTTTATTCTTCTGCATTTCACTGTAATATCACATTCCCTCCATTAGGGTTCTGTAGGAATGTGCTTGGAGGCAGATAATTAAGGATTACATGACGTCTGTTTAGTTTTCACATTTCACAGATTAGACAAACAGTGTTTAGCAATTCAAACAGAACTGTCTTAATCCAAGTGTTTGCCTTTAGCTCGTTACTTTGATGATCCACAAAGCTGATCCTCCTGTAGCACACGCATCATTTTCAGCTCGGAAGATCAACTCCCTTCTGAAAAGTCCGCACGCATCGAAGCGTTGAAAAGCCTATGTTTCATAATTCCTCATGCCTTCACAGCTAGCTGGTATCCAAGCCGACCTTCAAACCCAACCATGATCTAAAAAATGAGCTAAACATTTTAGGTTACATTCCGCTAATAGATGAATATATTTCCTGTAGAATGTCGAGTTTTTGCTGGCCTACAGCAGTAAAGACGGCATAACACCCCGACAAATCGCAGCCTTGTCCGGCTTTACGTCTTCAAAGTGTGATGGCCTAAGGAGAAGGGGCTGAAAACTGATGTATTATAAGCTTCGACTTTATCAAGCAGAAAGAACTAGCAATCAAAATAATGGGTATTCGGTGAATGTTTGTACCCCTCTTAACTTTACGCCAGGTATCCTAGAACAACGGGAATCCAGTAATAACATACTTGTCGGTTAACGTTTGATTACTCACTGAGTCATTCTCATTATGCGCACCGGCTTGTTCCGCCGGGCAGATTCTTGTGTGGATATTAAGGCCACAGCTAAGTTATTCTAAACGTTTATTCCCTTTACACCGCTGGAGCTTTAGGACTGTCTATACACTTTTCCTTTTTCATGTAGCAGGCCAACCTCATCAGCCAATTAAATTGCTTTATTTCAGGATTTTCACGTGTACTTGGTTGATCTGTTAACAAAGGCACGTTAATTTCGTTTATAGAATAGCCTGTGTCGTCATCGGTAACTGGCTCGATGGTTGTGCCCATTCTCACATTTATTCAAACGTTGTACATCCGACGACACCTGAAGCTTGCCTGGTGCTGCGAAATGAACCAGCATTATTGAATATTTCATGGCTCTGATTGCTCACTTTGCGTAGGCAAATGTTCTTGCTGCAATCCCATATCAATACAAGGAAGTCTTTGTTTAGCGGAAACATACGTATCCGTGTAGCCACTGATATGTGGTGATTTAAATAGTGAAAAATTTACAATCTGATCAAGCGTTTCAACTCAAAAGCGATTCTACGATGCCAGTTTAGGTGGCACCAGTAAATTTACTGCCGACTTACAGACACGCACTAACGTTCCTCATTTGTCATAGGCACATGGACGATATCGGTGATCGCTTATTGTAGGTCATGAGAAAGACGGTCATAACAACACTCTCCGAGCTCCACCGTTTCATTAAATTTCATCAAAATTTTACTCCTCCAACTTAGTACTTGCTCACGTTGTCGATAAAAGTTGTCCCCCTGTGGAGACCATTTTCTCCGAGACTAGACCAGTTGAACCACTTCAAGTGGTTGGTCTTTGTTCAGAGGAACGACAGTAGTCTGAACCATTTAGGCAAGTGTACTGGAAGCAAAACATGTTTTGGTCACTTCGAGGAAACAGAAATACAATCATTTTCATAGTTTTATTCCAGCACTCATTTTAAATTCATTAGTGCTTTTTAGGATTCATTATTTATATCAAACTTAGAAAGATGACTGTCCGTCAGTTTGAAGTGCGTACGGCGTTTTCTGAGAGAAAAAGCCTGTTCAGGAAGTTAAATTAAAAATTCTATCAGTGAAATAAGTATTATTCAGCACACTAAGGAGTTATTTATCATTACGCCATAGCAGTGCTAAAATCAAAGTATAAGAAGCTCATTTGAGTTCTGATCCCTTGCCTTATACCAACGTAATGTCTAACAATCTGGTGAGCAGTCGGCATCTTGAAACTTCAAATCAAAGCCCGAGTCATTTCCCTTAAGCTATCGGGTAGGTAGAAGGTGGTGCTCACCGTATATGCACCACTAAATCTATTGTTATGATTCGTCAGTTCTCTTTGGCCCTTCCCTTAGAAGCCGAAGGTTTATAGAGTGTGACTTTAGCTATCGGTCTCTGAATTCCTGTCCCGTAAAAGTTTCGCGTTCGCTGCTCTCAAAAATTAGTATCTTAGGCGCGGGCGGTTCTGATATTCAGTCAGCAGACCCAGTATAATTTTGAGCCTAGTCTGGTCAAATGCTAGTCACCCAACACCTAGGGCTCAGCTTTAAATGTGCTGGATATCAGGATCAACAATCTAGCGTCAAAAGTATGGCAGTTCTAAGTTTACCTCCAGTTTGGATGGTGTTTCGTAACCGGATCATTTTCACGCCATAGTTCTTGTACAGACTTTCTATTTTACTTGATACAAGATCCCTGTCGTTTGAATAATTTCCAAAAATTAAGAAAAAGGTTGTTTTGGATTTTGTAACAGTTTCTTTCACTCAGTGTTATGTACCATGTCATGCAGCTAGTCTCTGAATTCCCGTTGAAGAAGTCCATCAAACTTAATGCACAACGCGAAAAATAAGAATTCTGGTTTGTCACCGCCAAAGCGTTGCGAAGCATTACTAACGGCTTTTCCCATCAAACGAAAAAGTTACACTGTGTCCAAGGCGCTGTTGACACTATAAGATACCTTGTCAACTGTAGACCACGAGTATTTGTATGAGATCGTCTGAGCACACCAAGTTAGATTCATTCAGTTCACTTGAAGCCCGTTCATATGAGGTTCCATGCAATGTATTTTTCCCACTGCCCTGTTCTCTGATACAGTCTGTAAAGAATCTAGGTCACACACGCAGTTAATATCAGAAACAATTACACCACAGTGTATCTGTAATTAGAAAGCTGAGCAGACGCCTCACCGTCCTCCGTTTTATTTTATCCCGCCAAACGAAAGTTGAGAACCAGCAGCTACATCAAAACCACGCAGCATGACCCAATACTCCGGATGTGTAGTAAGAGCAGCATGCAAAAATTAAGTTCGCACATGATAACTAAAGCCGAACCAAGAGGTGGTTGGTATGAGACAAATCTATCAGATACACAGAATTATATCTAGTTCCCCCAAGGTTGCAAACGTCAGGGAACTCTGTGGTGTTCTGTGGCTCCTGTGTGAATTTATGCCCAGCCAGCAGTATTATTTGCCATGCTAACGAAAAGATTTTCCAGTCAGGACTAGGAATAGAGGATACACGAATCTGGGTGAAAGAATTTGAACGACTGAGCCGCTGCGTTCCCACATCCAGTGACTCACTATGAAGCGCTTGTCAGAACAGTGTTTACTATGATGATATCCAGCTAGTCCACCATCAGCCTAAGTCCCTTGTAAAGTACTCCACTCATAAGGAAATACACTAAATACAAACAACCCCATGAAGATACAACTATAATCGCGTTTCTTTTTTCATGTGGAATTTCCATTTGAGATAACAAACTACCTACGAAACCTTTTATTCTCAGAAATGAAAAATTCGTCCCCTATGGGGACGCAAAGGATTCCCTAGATTTGCATTCGGCCATCACAAACCAAAGTCGATGTTTCCAGCGTCACTAATTTGTCCGTTTCATACAGGTAAGACTTGGTTCAGCTTGATCAATAAGGTTGTAATATAAGTATATATATATATATATATAGCTTACCTGAGCTGCTCATCGGGTTATTAATTATTTACATTTGGTGCTAATGTTAGAGTGAGCATTAATCTAAACTTTTAGAGGCTTGACTTACCAGCACAAAAGCCATGCTTTCCAAACTGGATGGTGGATCTGGACCCCAAGCATTCATGCACAGCATCCCAATCCAGCAGTGTATCCCACTTTCATTATTCAAGCTCGACGAAATGTTGAGCCCATGGTGTGACTGTGGTATCGTCTTTCGCTAAAAACACACAAGTATATCTGTCTGGCTGTCCACCAGATACCAAAGATTTGGGGGATGCCTCGTATTTGTCGTCCCTGCCAGAGTCTATATTCGTTGTCGAGAAGGCAGTCAGTAACCTTTGTAGTTGTTTCTTTGTGCAGAAAGCACCGGGTCGGCTAACGATAAAAGAAATCGGTCGAGTTTTGTTGTCAGCATTTTATGCCAAAAGTAATGCGATCCGACTGAAGCTCATCTGATAGCCTATTGTAAAATTCATATTGATGCATATTACCCAAGCTTACTACTGAAAAAATAGGTTTCTCATTGGTCCCGCATGTGGCTACTTATACCACATATGGGAATATGTTTGCACTATTATGCCGTCAGGAAATTTCACCTATGTCGGCAGCCTTGTGGGGTAAATTTGTTTGAAAGTACACCTGGAGTTTCGTTTTCAGACTATTTCACCGCTGGAGCCTAAGTAAAACATCGGGAGAAGACTGAATGCGAGTGCATTGTACTGTAGGAAGTGATCTAGCACCTCCGGATATCAGTACCTGGATCTAATTACAGTGAAATATCAATAAATATGTATTATATGGAAATTTGATCCAGGTTCTGAAGGCCTCTGATATCTGAAGGTGTGAAGTACGTCTGGGGCGGTAGAATCTGCATGGTATGTAACTCATAAGATGGAATGAACCATAGAGATATATGGGATAAAACCAGTTCCGGACCAAAATAATTCTGCCGATTCCCTCATCTGCACTATAGGTCCGTCGTTCGCCTTGAATTCGAGTTCGAAAAAATGGACAGATCCTTGCTGACAGGACTATAGAGCAACCCTTGGGTAGGAAAACTGGTGGATCGCCGCCAATATCCATTCCCGGTAGCTGATATCAACCTAACGTTTTCCGTTCCATTTTGATGTAATTGGCCGTTGACACCGAGGTTCATACAGCCTTTATTGAACGACTATTCGTATCACCATTTGCATTCAAAATGGTTTGACAGAAACGTTGCGTTTAACCCGGTGCTCCTGAGTGAGTAACTTTCACTCCACCCAATTGCTTGGCCTAAACGCAGTGGTCTAGTCCACTCTCGCTTGTCACTTTCTGACAGATACATATGTTCCAACCGGCTGAAGTGTGCAATTTTTTTCATTTCACAATTTATGAATTTAATACTTGTTTGATATAGCAATCCTGGGAAATAGTTCATCGAAATGGTTGATTACACATCCAATTCCAATATTCCCCGTAAACTATCTAAGCGTTTTTTTTCCGCCTCCATCAAAACGGTCTATCAGTAACAAACAACAAAGTGTAATTTAGAAAAAGCAAGCCTTACTCCAATTTTTCATAAAGTACAGACAGTCACCAGACCATACGGTTCTGGTCGACTGGGAAATCGCGTTTTTGTGGTCTTAAAGTCCTCTCTGATGTGGAGCCTTTGCAGTAGCCAAAAATACTTCGTTCCTCCCAATGCGTCTTCATCCTGAACTTAAACGATTTAACGATAAAAGCAGTTGATCGTATAGACCACCGTTTTTGAAATTTCAAAGGTCATGTGTAGTTATAGTTATAGTATGCAATCCTGTTTTCTGACGTCTCTTAACATCAACCAAATTTACTTGGATAAGAGTTGTGCGGCATCGGTATACTACACATTTCATGTCATCCAAAATCCATCCAGATTTCTGTAGTAAAACATTCACAACTTGTTCTGAGACCATTTGCTGGAGTACGGGACAGGGCCGTCACACTACTTTGTAGACCTGGATTTTGCTGATTCCATAAATCACAGCAAGAGTGCTTATGGCTGGTTTCTCTCGTCTTGCCTCACCAACCTCGATTTATAGGAACTTGTCAATTAGTGCCCATTCTCCCGGTTTTCTTCGCCATGACAATAAGTCCATCGGGGCCGTTCAAGCTCTATGCATGCGCTGCTGTTACTCAGCGTCAACTATGTATGGATATCGACCCACAAGAGTTGTGGCAGATGATAACCTTAGTTCTGGAGGCAACAGCTCTACAAATCCGTCACACTAATGACTATCTCTTGCCGGGAGCAATGCAGCTGGATGGACAGACCATTTGGTGGAAGGCTGTGATTTAACATCACAGTAAAAGAATGCACACGAAAATGTAGCATTCTAATGTCAGTGAGAAAGGGGATCGTTTGTCTCTTTCAGACCGAAATAGCCCGAGGCGTAAACCCAAGTTGCTTACTCGCAGGGTTGTTCTTTAGATGAGGTGTTCGTAGAGGCTTTGTTCTCTTGACCCTGCATTTGATATTGAGGATAGAAAGACCATATGAGCATTGACAATATGCGCATGAGATCTAACTATGCAATTCCGGTTTCTGGATGGACACATGGCCTCTGGAACTTTAATAACTACTGACGCATGTTTGACTATATTCATCGCGAAATTGGTCGTGCGCTGCGCAACGTGTTCAAATTTCCCGATGCTAGAGTCATCCTCACCCGAGGACAGAGACCCAAATTGATCCCTACTGAGGACCAGTCTTCCCCGACTTTAGTCGCCGATAGAAAGAAAAGCAGTTTTCACTTCAATTCAATCCAGCAATTAGAACAACTCTGCTGAAAAGTTGAAAAGGAGCTGTTTCATCTTCGTTGAAAATCACCAGCATTGTCAGTCTTAAAAATCTACAAGGCAATTGGAAGGCGACGTCTTACGAGTTATTGCCTCTCTTTCTGAGTATGCCTCCCCGGTTGCTTTTGAGTTTCTATACGGTTGACATTCAGAAGGCTTGAGCACTTGATTGCATTCCAACTTGTTCATGGCGCAATCGGCCCTGAAAATCAGTCGGACTGACACGTGTTGGTGTGCGGTCATCAGAAATAGGAGTAGTAATCATCCAAATTCAGCTTAACCTTACCCCTCCACCCCAACTAAATCGTCCCAGCACTCAAGAGCCCACAAAGACCAAGAAAAATCTACCAGTGGCGCCCGAGGTGAAACACCTATTAAGGCATCCTGAAGTGGAAGATTAACGAACAATACCCGATCAGAAATAACTCCCCAATCCCACAACGCAAGAGTTTGGCAACCACACCGCCGTTAATTTGAACTCAACACTCATCTAGTGTGTGATCTAGTTGGATGGCCTGAAGGGGACTTACTGATTGGTTCTCTGTCTCCTGGCCAATTTGGCCTGATGAAGCTTTTGTGTCAAAAGCAAAACATTGCCCTAATAAAGAAAGAACTATCGATTGTTTACAAAGTTCTTAAATGGTCTTGCTTGCTTTTTCGTGTATTTTGTATTCCTGTACACTTCACAGCAGTACTTATTGTTCATATCACTAAGTATTTTTAGTTTTGCTTAGTCAAATAACTTCACTTCTCTGAAGCTTTTATTCTTCTGTGGCATCCGCATTTTAACCTCTCTGAGATGGCTTCCTCCAGTATAGAAAACAACACTGCTGTTCGAATTTCCCTTGTGTTTCTTGTCACGTGTTTCAAATAATACCACCTCCGTCACCAACACTGTCGCTTTAATGCTCGATAGTGAATGTAGTGAATAGATCTGAGTTCAATTTCATCCAGAAGTGGAGCATTAAAAATCAGCTGTCGCATTATCATGAAATGCCAAACCAATTCACCCTGCTAAGAGAACAAATATGGTGAAGAAATATTGATGCTGATAGCCGCGAAAGTTCGCTTGACCGCTTAGATGAGTCAGGGTGCGCTGCGTGTTATGCTTACCGGCTTTCCAAGCATCGAATGAATTTCAAAGACTTCAGAAGCGGCCTGCACTTACTGTGAGGGTATTCCCATGCCTAGCCTTAATTGTTCGATCGTTTCCTTTCTACTTCCTCTTCCTCCACACAGATTGAAGTTTTCCTGCTGGGATCACAGAAACGTTGCTCTCATGTTCTCGACTAAATAGTTTGTTCAGAATACAAGTGGTCTGCTCATTGGCTGATTCACTAAATGATGCGTGTAGAGTTGAGGAGACTGTGGCACAATCAGCCTGATGCTGAGACGGCAACCGAGTGAACGTGACCAATCGGTCAGTGTGTTCTCGACCACCAGATCGCGGAAATACATAGAACTGGGCAGTATGTGCTACCAACTGCTCGCATATATATCAACGTTATCTGAAAGGTGACCGTCATACTCTAAATTGTCCGCTTAATGTACCAATTAAATTCACTCAGAAAGTAGAACACAACCGTGTGCACCAAAATTGTGGTCCTAAGAAAACGCTAGTTTTGGGGACTGGACTATTCTCATTTACTTCGATGGAGTTTTAGCCGCGCAAGGTTAGAAGGGAGCAGTTTACATACTGAAAAGCTGCCCATGGAAAAAATATCCAACCCCTTTGTACTCTCTGTCTGGAGATTTTTGTTGTTTTGATGCCATCCTGGTCCTTTATTTTTTACTGATGTACTTCGTGCATTAGCTGACAATTCTGCAGTAGATTTCGCGTTCACTATTCAACACTGTCCCTCTTAGTTTCAGAGTGCGATTCAGAGATACATTCTCTCGGCCTGAATTTTTGCCGACGGCAGAAAACCATCGGTCTTAGGTCCATCCTATTTAGAATTTACAGTTGTCATGCCCGGATCTCAAACTTGCAAGCATTTTCACCTCACGTGATCAAGTAGCAACTTAGGTTTCAGCTAAAAAAATGAACACTGTCTACTGGAGCAAAATGCACTTGGAAGGCAAGCTCACTGCAGCCTACACATCCTTCTATTGTGAATGTTCTGTGGACAATAGCACATAAAAATATGGCGATGCAAGCTGCTAATCGATCTATATCGAAATGTTAGGGAATCGATTCGGCACCGCTCGAATTCCAACAATTCACTCACACGCGAAATTCTGTTCCGCACACCTAAAATTCCGCCCGTACCGCGATCCAGCTACGATCGTACGATATTTTTCAAAACACCTGGCCTGACTTATAACTCTTGTCAGTTCCATAAAGCCAAGTGATTTTGAAATACCAGATTAATGCAAATAGTTAGAACTGTAAAACTTGCATGCATGAAATATGTGCATCAATGACACAGAGTTATGGCCCGAACAAAGCAAACGACCTTAGAATCCGAGACAATTTTAAGCGTGAACAGGGATTTCTAAGAGGATCGTTTGTGTTCACACTAGATTCCAGTTCTTTTCAGGAAATCCAATGTGAACAC